TATCCGTCGGTGAACAGGTCTGCGCGGTGTGCGTTCACCCGAACCTACAGGTCTGCGCGGTGTGCGTTCACCCGAACCTATAGGAGCGCACGGGGGAGCCCCGCAAGCTGCCTACGCCTCCTCTTCACCCAGGGGGATCGTACGTGGGCGCAGCCCGGCGTGTGCGAGCCCGGTCTGCCCGCGTCCCCGCGGGACAGCGAGCGCAGCGCCGGGGCGGGTGCTCACGCGTGTGTAAGATACGTGTGCGTGTATCTGCGTACAGGACAATTCATTTCAGTCAGGTCCTGTTGCTTATCAGTTAATAAAATGTCTGCTAGATCAATTCATTTCATAATCTATATGCTCCTAATCTACCATCTTTATTGGGTCCAGTTAAAAGGAAAGGGAATTCGCTGTCCCTCCCCGTTTAGATAATTACCCTTAAATGACTGCAAGAGCCTCTTGTGTTTCGAGGAGATTAGAGCCCTGCAGCTATCAATAAACTTTTCCCAGCGAGCGGCCAATCACGTTATTAGAGAGCGGCTCCGTTTTACTGCACATCCGTCCTGGGCGCAGGGATAAGGGATCGTAAAACGAATTTACAAAACAAAATAGCCGGGACTTTAATGGGGCTGGGGCTTAGATGTTCCTTTTTACGTGAAAGAACATTTCATTCTCGGGAGACACGCACACAACTATGCCACGAAACGTTGCACAGTTCATGTGTGTGGATGGATGGACGGATGCACGTATATAGGCGCAGATCCCCGCAGACACGTCGAACACACCGCAGGGCCGGCGTTCATTTAAAAACAAACAAACAAACAAACAAACAAACAAACAAGCAGGAACCTAAAAGCACTTTTCCAAGGCGCAGCCAGGCTGTGGGACAGGCAGGGGCTCCCTCCGAGAGGTCACACTCGGGACAGCCCGATATTTGTTGGTTTTCCAGCAGAACACGGCTCGGGCCCGCTCCCTCGCTCTTCGGTTTTTTTCCGACGTTAATATATTTTTTCCCCCATTTTTGAGTCACCCTCCGCCCCAGTCCCGTCCCCACGGCGGACCGCTGCTCGGGCACCCCCGGCCTT